AAACATTCTCCTGTTCCATGGTACAGCAATGATTTTATTCCTTGAAATTTTAATAAATTTGATACGATACACCTCACATGACAGCCACAGATAATTACAACCCTTATTTGATTACAGAATTTACGACAGTGTTGTAGTTATGATAATATTTTTCCTTCATTGTTCATCACATTGAAACAATAACATTTATAATGCGTTTGAGAACATCTGAATTCTCGCTGAAGATTTTAACCATCTGTTATGAATGAACGCGAAATACAGACATGGTCGATATTCCGCTCCTACAACGTTGCAGTTTCAACCATCTGACAACCAATATCAGCGTATTAATTCTTTTAAACTAGAGAAACAAGCAATCGTGCCGACCATGTTGCCATCCAATAAAATGCTTCCTTTATTATCACCCACTTCTAAATATGCTATTAGACTGCGTTCATTAAGAGCAGATATGTTACCGCAATCAACATATCAACTAACACTGCGTCCAATAACATCTATTACCTCATCTGATTGGCCATAATCATTTTATAGTGGGAATAGATAAATTCAAATATCGAATCACACTTTCACCCACTTGCAGTTTTCAGAATCCATTCTAGCAAAAGGGAAAAAAACGGTTATACCGCATTTATCACGCATAACGTAGGATCTTCCTTAAATTAATGTCAGGAATAGACAATACAAAACGACCTTACTCATCTATTAGTCTTTATACAAGGATAAAAAGAAGTCTAATTAGCTAATATCGTGTTGTGTTTGACTAGTTATCACTAAATGGCAGTTATGTCTTCCATTCGTAGTTCCCTTCTTCTCTCTTCGTAATTCCTCTTCTTCTTTTCTTTTTTTTTTTTTTTTTTGAGTTCCTCTTCTCCTCTTTCCCCTTTCTCTCTTTTCAGAGAGTTCGTTCGGTTCAGTCATTCCTTGAGGTCACAGCCAAGGATGATAACCTCTTGTTTTGACCTTCGATGGCCTGTGGGAGTCAGTCGACGGGATGAGATGACCCTTGACGACCTTCAGTACTTTTCAAAGGCTTTCGACGATCATCAGTGATCTCCGATGACGAATTCCGACGATCACCGAGTCTCCAACGAGCTCCAACGAATTCCGACAGCTTCCGACGATCCCCGACGAATTCCGACAACCTACGACGGGCCCCGACGAACTCCTTCGGCCCCCGACGACCTCGGGCGCATCCCGACCGCCTCCGCCCTACCTCGGGGCAGGTCACGAGTCGCAGGAGCTGGGTCGCGAGGCGCTCGTGGCTTCGCTCTCGGACCTGGAAATGGAGCTCCAGGAGGAGCTGGATCCCTCGGCCGACGCGTCCTCGGCGGCGCTGTCCTCGCCCTTCTCCCTGGCCGCCCGCCGCCCGTCCTCGTCGGGGGGCAGCGGCGGCGGCGGCAGGGGCGCGGGCGGCGGCGTCTCGCAGTTGACGATGACCGACACGGAGCTGTCGGCGCTCGTGCCGCGCTCGCCCGACTCCTCCTCGGACCCGATCGGCGCCAGGACGGGGGCGCTCCCGGGGCCGCCGGGCGTCGCCGAGCCCCCCGCGCCCCCGGCCGCGTACCTGCGGCAGTCGAGGAGGTAGCAGCGCCGCGCGAACGCCCCCGGGGTCTCCCGCGGGTGGGGGTGGTGGTGCGGAAGGGCGTGCTCGCGGGGGCCGTAGTGGGCGCCCTCCTCCAGGGACAGCGTGATGAGGGGCAGGGGCTTCACCAGGCGCTCCGCCGGCCGCGCCTTCTTCGGCTTCCGCTTCTCGATCTTCACGGGGCCCTTCTTGATCTGGCGCCCCACCACCTGCGCGGAAATTGCAAAGTGTTAGGACAATAAAGAAAGAAAGAAAAAAAATATACATACATATATATATATATATATATATATATATATATATATATATACATACATATATATTATCCAATATAGTCTCTAGTTTTATAAGCATTACTTTTGCAATTATCTTTACCATCATTGTCAAATATATATATATATATATATATATATATATATATATATATATATATATATATATATATGTATATATGTATATATATATATATATATATATATATATATATATATATACTACCACCAATCATCAATATCATCCTACTGCAATCGCTGTTATACACCACCACCACTAAAGCCATTGTTATCTAAAAGTTCAACCCACACATTAAATAAAAGGTTTTTTGAATCCTTAACCCCGTTCTTCATCAAAATTAAAGCCACATTTTCAAGAACTATCATATTCTTTATCCAATCGACCCAATACACATTTCTTAAAAGTAAACATAGTAATAGTAAACATACTGATAGTAAACAGAGTAATAGTAACCACAGTAACAATAAACAAAGTAACAATAAGCGTAAAAATAATAAACAAAGTAATAATAAACATAGAAATAATAAATAATGTAATAGTAAACATAATTTCACACCTATAACTCAAATGCCATTCCTCCCATTTCTTATGATTCTAACCTTCTACAGATTCTTAATTCTATCACCTTTACTTCAATTAATTCCACTCGTCCATAAAAGAAATACCCTTCTAAACAATGGAAAAAATAAAGTTCAGAGTCCAATACCCGTGTTTATTTTACGGTACAGTTACGGTCGAAACTGTTCCGAACCTGTTTCGAACATCCGCTTCATACCATACTTTTCGTATGACCGATTCGGAGCTTCAATTCCTTAAAGACTTTTTTGTCCGTCACTGTACTATGTCCTCTAAACCAGTGTTGTTCAAACGTTTTCGCCTATTGTACCTTTTATCACCTTGTACTGTCACGTACCCTATCCCCCACCCCGTCCATTATGGCTAAACAAACCATTTTATTTAGGATAATTCAAATAATATACTAATTATGAAAAGTCTGCATTGCAGGAGTGTTGGTCAATAAATTCGAATTTGATACCCCAATAAAAAGATGATTTAATAACATGTGATGTGTTTGTTTGTGTGTTCCTTGTTTGTTCACGTACACCCCTTTTGATCTATGGGCGTCTTCTGTACGTGCCATAAAAGTTAATCCAGTATTAAAGTTTAATCCAGATCTCTAGTGCGCATGCGCGTTGGCAGCGTCCAGGATCAACTTTTAATGCACCTCTAGACCAGGCTTTAATATTAAGCTCATTTTTTAATCCTGCACATGCGCAGAAGGGACAAGTTAATCCCACCAATCATGTACTGTTACGTCACGTGTCCGTCATGAACTTCATGGGTGCCATCGCTTGAGTTGCCATTCAGAGTTATTTTCGGCAATAACATCGATCGTCTTAGAATTTTCATACTTAGTATTTATTATGAAAATGAAATTGTATATATTTACACAAATGATCAAATATTCTGATAAAGGAAATAACTTATGGTAATGAATATAAAAACCAATATAATCCCGAGGAATCTTTGAAGTTCAGAGGCTGCGGGCATGGAACTCATATTTCCAGGTTAGTGAAACAAAAATTATATGGTCAAGGTCACACAAGTTGACGTTTTAAATCAAATATGAACCAGTGTTTTAAAGAAGAATTATGTGCTGAGTTTTTCTCAACTACTTTACACAAAATTAACAAGTATACTTTTCTATGGACCTCCTGAACAGCATCCTGAAGAAAACATGTTTCCCTCCTCCAACACGATTCAACGCAGCAAAGAGCTGTCCGAGGAAACTGCGCGATGGATATTAATTGGTGAATGTCATTTTTGTACTTGAGTGTCATTGAAATAAAGATTGGTTTTATAGTTGTTAGAGCAGTTTCGTTACCCATTTTACTACTATAAATATAAGATCGTTATCATGAAAAAATAGAATATTTCATAAATAATCATGTTTCCCTTATAAGTAAGCCTACTTGTGCCTCGTAATTATCATATGAAGATCAAACTGCATCTTGAGTGACTGACTACAACTTTCTATAACAATCACCTTTTCTCCAATCTATAAAAATGAATATCAGTTGTCAGAAAAATCTTTTAACAATGCAGTGTCTGAATGCAAATTGCAAGGTTTATTTATCCAAGTAAATTTTATATCGGACTGCAAATCTTTAGGTAATATCTTTAATACTGTCTTCTATATCATATGCGTAGGGACATGAAGGGTGAATGTTGAATAGATATCTTTTGGATGATTTTGTTGCTTATTTAACGCTACCCTACACAACATGCAACAGTTATGTGTGAAGAGAACATTGCACAGAAATGTTTCAAATTTTTCAAGACAACATACCTCAGCTCCCACCCTTTAGATTTGTAAAACCTATTCCCAAACGCCAGGATCTTCACATCAACAGCAGAGAGCAGAACCATCACTATATCACAGACCAGGAACATCACAAGAATTGATAGAAATTTAAAGAGACAGTCCATTAACTTAAGATTCCAAACAAATCATATTTGAAACAGATAATCTTGAAGAAATGTGTACAGAAAATAGAGGTACGAACTTTCTTACTTTGATATGATGCTAGTCTTAGTTTTCAATTTTGGGAACATTGGGAGGCATAAAGAATTGATTAATAATATGAATAAGTTTTTAATGCCTTGTCTTCAATCATGTAGGTACGTCTGGGATGAAGGGAAGGAAAAGGTGGTCTTCAGAAGCATCTGAGAAGTTTATATTATTATTTACAGAACACTTTAAACAATTAGGAGGCAAAGCAGTGCAGAGATAAAAAAGGCATAAGATAATTAGCATTATGAAAACATTAGTAAGAGTCTCAGTTTCATGAAATACACATTAAATATAATAGATATTTTGAAACCTAAGAGATGTCTTAAATAGTTTCTTAAATATGATTACCAAAAACATGACATTACAAAAAGAAAGAAAAAAAAAACATGAAATCTCCCAAAAGAGCGAATTTCACGCGCGACATTTCTCTTCTCTCCGACATGTTTACATGATAACGGTGGTGATAGAATAGTGAGTACGACAGTTTTTACTGAACATTATTGTCGCGCCGTCTGGCAGCGGAGAGTGTCGTCTCGGTACGGACACGGTGGATTAGGATTAAACTAAATACGGTATTAAGAGTTAAGGGTGCTACAGGAGACGCCCTATGTTACGTATAGTCTGGACAACACTGCTCTAAACTACTTAAGATGACACTAAAGGCGTTTTCAGCAGGGGAGCACTTGGCCAAGAATTCTTGCTCCGAGGCCAAGAACTTCGTTGCTTAAAACGGTTGCTAGAGCCTGAGCAGTGTTGCTAATACGCACAACGCTTCTAAAATGTCAAGCCTGAAATATTCTACTTGTATATCAGAGTATCTTCCATAATAAACGTTTTAAATGAATATATCTACCATAACATCTCTACAAAGCCTAATATTCTCTCCTATATGCATATTCAAAGCCTCTAAAACAGTGACACACACTTCCGATTGGCAACCCTTACACTCTGACGCAATATCAAAACAAATGAACATCACTGAATGAAAATATAGGCCTACCCATTCCCATATATACGATTTTATGAAGTTAAATATAACAGTCACAGAATACATTATCAACAAGAGAATGTTGCTAGAATTTTTCAGACTTTTCCACTTGAAATATTATCTGCCTCATGGAATAGTAGGTATATTCACCATTTACAGAGACGAGGAGTTTAAAAGTAAGCGATAAATTGTTCGTCTTAAAATGATTTATGATCTAAAAGAAAGAGCTTTTTCATTTCCATAATCTCCATTATCTCCATCATGGAAATTACAGTAACAGAGACCGTAAAAAATAATTTCTCGGATAAAATATTTAGCGGAGTTCTTGGCCAGCGCTCGCTTTCGAAGGCTTCAAACCAGAACGGTTACGAGGCTGTTACCATGGTAACGGTACACCGCTTGACTTGGCCAAGGAGACTATTCTTATGAAATACCAAGAAAAAGTCTTGATATTTTAAGCTTAAAACGCCCTAATTCTCCCAAGAATCACAATTTTTTTGAAGTTATACTATTTATCTAAATCACACAACTGCACCCTCACCCCCAAACAAAACAAAAAGTATGTAAATTAAAAAATCTAAATAAATGGTTTGTAGTTTCTCAATTCTATCCCAGCTGCAAGAAGTCCATGTCCTGGCATCCAAAACTATCACACCAAAGAAAAAGTAAACTAAGAGACAAGAAATATAAATCTGCAAAACATTACACGACAGATTTGAAGGACAGACTGACGCCGGTTTGTTGAAATAGACATGGATATGCACAGAAATAGATGCGCATCCGTCAATTCATCTGACGGATATACATTTCTTCATCTATCTATCTGATAGATTAAGCATGTCTAAAGTAATAGACATGAGTATATTTCTGTGTACATGCATGCTCAAGGATTCTCAATCTGGGTATCACAACACACCAATGTTTTGCGACTGTCCTCTAAGTCTGTCGCCAGTTATTTTGCAAATATATATTTCTTGTCCCTTATTAAAGGCCCTATCACTCTATCCCTTTTTCCGTCAATTTTAGCGTTTCCGAATGAACTTTCCGTATGAAAATCGATTGACCCGATCACATGACCAAGGCAGCAGACATTGTAAACAAAGATGGCGCAATCGGAGTAAGGTCCCGGGAAACACATACATATTACGTTATTTTAAAGAACTATGATGATGTATATTGTATGTACCAGTGTTCTAAAATATTTGCATGTATTTATATTCACTCATTCTATCTAATTATACATTTAAAAAAACATTCTAGCTGTATAGATCCTTCGTAGCGCAAGATCAAGTCGAAAATTAGTCAGACGGAAACGGCCATAACCGTCTTCGTCTGGGAGGCGTTCCGTTTGCAAACTCGCGGAAAGCCTCAAATTCATTCGGAAACGCAAACAAATTGACGGAAAAAAAAGTGATAGTGCCATAGGGCCTTTATTTTACTTCCTCTTTTGCAGTCCGAAATTCTGGTCATTAAGGGCCACTCACCTGCAGATTGACTCCAAGGTAAGGTGGGTTCGGCACTGATCGTTCGCTGTCTCTGTAGGCCAGCTCGAACTGCCCCGTGTCAGCTGTTTTGTTGTGCTTGTAGTCCACCACGACTGTTTGGAGAGAGAGCTGGGTTATTTATTGGAAAAAAAGTATTATTCATGTCATAATTTTTTCTTTCTTTCTTTCTTGATTTATTTATTTTTCTTTTTATTATCAGTACTTTTGCCTTGTGTGCGTTTTTTTATTGGGTTATGTGTGGGTTATTTATTGGAAAAAAGTATTATTCATATATGAAAAAAGTCTTTACTTTCTTTATTTATTTATTTTTCTTTTTATTATCAGTACTTTTGCCTTGTGTGCGTTTTTTATTGGGTTATGTGTGGGTTATTTATTGGGAAAAAAATATTATTCATATCATAAAAAAAGTTTATTTCTTTCTTGGTTTATATTTTTTATTGGTATTATCAGTACTTTTGTCTTGTGTGAGTTTTTCATTAACGTAAAATTCATTAATAAACTACGATAAAGTGTATCTTCAAGCATACAATTATAACGCATTCTCTTTGTCACATTTATCAACAATGTTTTATGTTTTTTACACTATACACTCAGGAACAGGTATAATTATACTCCTGTGGTGATAATTGCTTGATAATTAAGACAAGGGCAATCTTGAAGTGTAATTAGTGGATGGGTTGTATAAGCAAATTAATTTATGTAAAAAAAGTCTGCCAGACCGAATTGCAAGTACATTATAAATAATTATTTTTTGTAAATTTTGTATCTGAAGCAATTTTTTTTCATAATTGTTCTTATGTTAGTTTTCATATATTCTATTATGATAAAAAGTTTTATACTGAATTAAGTTTAAAAAAAGCTCCATCTAGACTCTACACACCACATAAATCATCACCATAATCTCTAACAACATAACACACATCGCGTTTATAAAGACACACTATAAATACATATAACCACACACACATACACACACATATATTTGTGACCATGTTTATTAGTATGAGTGTGTGTGTGTGTGTATGTGGAGTGCGTGTGCGTGTGCTTGTGCGTGTGCGTCTGCGTCTGCGTCTGCATGTGCGTGTGTGCGTCTGCATGTGCGTATGTGCGTCTGCATGTGCGTGTGTGCGTCTGCATGTGCGTGTGTGCGTCTGCATGTGCGTGTGTGCGTCTGCATGTGCGTCTGCATGTGCGTGTGTGCGTCTGCATGTGTGCATGTGCGTCTGCGCGTGTGCGTCTGCGTCTACGTGTGCGTCTGCATGTGTGCGTGTGTGTACATATACACAACACACCACATACCTTTAATAACATCCTGGAGACACTGCGCGCACATCCTCTTGGTGACGCTCGTGGTGGACGCCATGCAAGGGGAGGAGTTGATCTCGATGAGCCACGGTCTGAGGGGGGGAGCGGACACGTGAGGGGCTGAGCGGGGGGTTGTTGTTGTTGTTTGCTGTTGTTGGTGGTGTATTTGCTGTTGTTGTTGTATTTATTGTTGTTGTTGTTTGAGGGGATGGAAAGTGAGGTATTGAATGTGGAGAATTGTTTTGTTGTTGTTTTTGCTGTTGTTGTTTTTGCTGTTGTTGTTGTTGTTGTTTGAGGGGATGGAAAGTGAGGTATTGAATGTGGAGAATTGTTTTGTTGTTGTTTTTGCTGTTGCTTTATTTGTTGTTGTTGTTTGAGGGGTGGAAAGTGAGGTATTAAATGTGGAGAATTGTTTTGTTGTTGTTTGTGCTGTTGTTGTATTTGTTGTTGTTGTTTGAGGGAGGAAAGTGAGGTATTGAATGTGGAGAATTGTTTTGTTGTTGTTGTAGTTGTATTTGTTGTTTGAGGGGTGGAAAGTGAGGTATTGAATGTGGAGAATTGTTTTGTTGTTGTTGTTTTTGCTGTTGTTGTAGTTGTATTTGTTGTTGTTTGTTTGAGGGGAGGAAAAGTGAGGTATTGAATGTGGAGAATTGTTTTTTGTTGTTGTTTTTGCTGTTGTAGTTGTATTTGTTGTTGTTGTTGTTTGAGGGGAGGAAACTGAGGTATTGAATGTGGAGAATTGTTTTGTTGTTGTTGTTTTTGCTGTTGTTGTTGTATTTGTTGTTGTAGTTGTTTGAGGGAGGAAACTGAGGTATTGAATGTGGAGATTTGTTTTGTTGTTGTTGTTGCTGAGGTAAGGAAATGGTGAGAGAATTGTTGTTGTTATTGTTGTTGTTGTTTGAAGAGAGGAAACTGAGCTAATGAATGGTTGTTGTTACTGTAGCTGTTTTTGTTGTTGTTGTTGTTTGAAGAGAGGCGAATAAGGAAATGAAATGTGAGGTTATTGATGGTGATGATAGTGATGTTATATTAATTACTGATCCTAATATAGACATTGATAAAAAATACTGATATTGATAAAGGTCATTTTTCACTAATATTGATACTAATAACGACATTAACGATGATACATCAATATACTAATAATAACATTACCTATGAAATGTTCATTGATGTTGCTATCAATATTGACAATGTTTATTATGGTGATTTCATGAATACTTATACTGTGTTATAAATGATACTGATAGTGACATATTTACGTTGATAATGATACTGACAATACTGCTTGAGTTGATATTGATACTGATGTTGGTATTGACCTGATACTAATACTGAAACGGATAATAATTCTGATAACGATTACATATGATAGGAAAAAAGTCTGTGATGATGATGGTGATAATTTGTTTTTAAAAAATAATCTCAATATCTAAGCATTAAATATTTTGTGGATGAGAGAATATGCAACTTTGATAAGATAATTGACAACTCTTCTTTCTTTCTTTTTCTAACAATATGATTAACAATAAAAAACGTTTTTTTTTTTTTCAAGAATTATGCAGTATATAATATCTTCAGGAATTCACTTGACAGGAGTAAAAAAAAAAAATGTGAATAAGGGGTGTTTCATATTTGTTTGTGATCCCTGACCTTTTCGAAATCCCACAACCCCATCCTCAACCCACCCGACCCCCCCCCCCAACCCCTCACCTCAAATCCTCCGTGAGCTTGAAGTCGGCGCCAAGCATTTCGAATCCGTGCTTGAAGTTTTTTTTTTATTGGAACCCCCAAAATCTCCTCACAAAACCCCCTTACACCCTCCCTTCTCCCCACCCCAAGCCCACTTCCAACCACCCCCAAACCCACCACCAACCCACCCCCAAACCCACCTCAATCCTCCTGAGCATGAAGTCGGCGCCAAAGAGTTCGAATCCGTGCAAGAAGATTTTTTTTAATCCNGGGAGGAGGAGGAGGAGGAGGGAGAAGAGTAAGGATAGTGGGGAGGAGAAGGAAGAGGAAGAGGAGGGAGAGGAAGTAAGATAGTGGGGAGGAGGAGGAGGAGGGAGGGAGAAGAGTTAGATCGTGGGGAGGAGGAGGAGGAGGAGGAGGGAGAGGAAAGTTAGATCGTGGGAGGAGGATGGAGGAGGGAGAAGAGTAAGCAGAGAATAAGGTGGAGGAGGGAGGAGGAAAGGAGGAAGGAGAGAGGGAGAAGGAAGTTAGATAGTGGGGGGAGGAGGAGGAGGAAGAAGGGATGGCAACACATAAACAGTTTTGTCTCCCATTTAACGAGTGTTTTGCTTCGGGTTTGGATGCGATTATTGCGTGATACTTTCGGGCAGAAATTATGGGATTGAGATAACTGGCTTTGACAATGGAATCTATTTTCTGTCATGATTTTTCAGATTTTTTTTTTCTTTTTTTTTTGGCTCTCTCGATCCCTTGTCTCTCTGTTTGTCTGTGTGTCTGTCTCTGTCGTCTGTCTCTCGATCCTCTTCTCCCTCTCTCTGTCTTTGTTTGATTGTATACTGTCTGTCTGACTGTCTGTCTGTCTGTCTGTCTGTCTGTCTGTCTCTCTCTGGTCTCTCTCTCTTCTCTCTCTCTCTCTCTCTCTCTCTCATCTCTCTATCTATCTATCTCTTATCTCTCTCTCTCTCTCTCTCTTTCTCTCCCTCTTTCCCTCTCTTCTCTCTCTCTCTCCTCCATCTCTCTCTCTCTCTCTCTCTCTCTCTCTCTCTCCTCTCTCTCTCTCCTCCTCTCTCTCTCTCTCTTCACACCATCATTCCCTCATAACACAAAAGAACAATTATAAGACTCCTCTCCTCTCCATCACCCCCCCCAAAAAAAAAAAGATAAAAGAAAAGAGACATAAAATAAAATGACAAACAGACACACTTTCACTCTTATGTAATTTACGCCTCATTTAATAGGCCGAATGTGTGTCATTAAACCTGCTTGTTCATGTAGAGAGTGCAAATAGATACAAAAAAGAGTGAAGCGAAAAAATAAAGATACAAATTAAAGAAGAAATATAAAGGTAAAATAGATTAAAAGAAAAGATTATACGTACTGGAAATAATAAACAAAGAAGCGTGTTTTAATATGTACACACACACACACACATGCACGCACACACACACACACACACACACACACACACACACACACACACACACACACACACACACACACACACACACACACACACACACCACACACACACCCCCCCCACACACATATATACATACATATATATAATCCATTCATATATGTACATATATGTGTGTGTGTGTGTGTTGTATCGAGAATATGATTATGATAACAATAGTGATAACATAAATATTCTGATAAAAAATATGATAATAAACAATTGCAGACATTTCAATACTACCTGAAGTTATTGCATCATGAATCTACTAAATTCATAAACATGCGTATATATTTGGTTTTATATTTACAATTATATCTGTATCTCAATTTGAAAATCAGACGGTGTATGTTTTCAGATAGAGGTTTATGTAGGCATGTATGCATGTACGTATGTATATTTGTGTGTAGGTATGTAAGTATATACGTACGTATGTATGTATGTGTGTATATATGTGGCATGTGTTGTATACATGTATGTATGTATGTATGTGAATGTCCGTATCCAGCATGTATGTGCATATGTATATATGTATATATGCATGTATGTATGTATGTATATATGTATGTATGTATATATGTATATATGTATGTATGTATTATAATTTATGCATGTATGTATGTCTGTATGTATGTATGTATGCATGTATGTATGTATGTATGTATGTATGTATGTATGTATGTATGTATATAATGTATGTATGCCATATATGTATATAAGCATGTTGCATGTATGTATGATAAGCATGAATGTATGTATGTATGTATGTAGCATGAATGACGTAAGCATTCATGTAAGTATGTATGTATGTATGCGTGCCTATGTGCATGTACGTATTGATCACGTCGAGAACTTCATCTATGTTTTTGAACTTTGGGAACGGATCCTGCGCCTTAGACCGAGATCCTTCCCTTGATGTGAAAGTAAGTGTAATCCTGCGGCTGAACTCCAGGATTAGCTTTCTTCAATAGAGACGCTGAGGCTCAAGGGAAGATTTTTTTTTTCTTTTTTTCTGATTTTTTTTTTTGGGGGGGGGGTTGGGGGTGTATTCTTTTTTTTTTTTTTTTTCTTCATTTTTTATTCTTCTCTTTCTTCTTCTTCCTCTTCATTCTCATTCTTCTTCTTCATCCTCCTCCTCCTTCTCATCTCTTTTCCTCCTGCTCCCCTCCTCTCATCTTTTTTTCCTCCTGCTCCTCCTCCTTCTCATCTCCCCTCCCCACTTCCCTCCTCCTCTCCCTCCTTCTCACCCCCTCTCTTCTCCCCTTCTAATTCTCCTCCTCCCCCCTTTCCTCTCCTAATCTCCTCCTCACCCCCTCTTCTCCTCCCTTATCATCCCCCTCCCTCCCCTCTCCTCCTTCTCCCTCTCCCCTCCTCCACCTCCTCCTCCTCTCTCCTCCTCTTCTCACCCCTCTCTTCCTCCTCACTTTCTCATTCCCCTCCTCCCTCTCTTCTCCTCCTTCTCATCCCCCTCCTCCCCCCTCCCCCTCCTACTCCTCCTCTTCCTTCCATCCCCCTCCTCCCCTCCCCCTCCCTACTCCTCCCCCTCCTCCCTCTCCCTTCCCCTTCCTACTCCTCCCCCCTCCCTCTCCACCCCCTCCTCCCCTTTCCCTCCCCTCCCCCTCCTCCTCCTCCCCTCCTCATCCTTCCCCTCTCCTCCCCCTCCTCCTTCTCATCCCCTTCCTCCCCTCCTCTCCTCCCCTCCCCTCCTCCTCCTCCTCCCTCTCCTCCTCCTCCCCTCCCTCTCTCTCCCCTCCTACTCCTCCTCCTCCTTCATCCCTCCCCCCCCCCCCTCCCTCTCCACCCCTCCCTCTCCTCCCCTCCCTCCTCTTCTCCTTCTCCCTCTCCTCCTCCTCCCCTCCCTCTCCTCCCCTTCCTCCTCCCCTCCTTCTCATTCCCCTTCCTCCTCCTCTCCCCCATGCAGACGGAGTGAAAAAAAAATACAGAATACAAAGGGGAAGAGAAGAGTGATCCTAATTACGTATTCCAGTGTAGTCGTCTGTGTCAACGTTCCTGGCGGGTGTCATGTCAGCCATGGTGTCAGAATACACACGTTATGACACCAGGAACTCAGGTGTCAATATCTCGTTTTAGCCCGACTCCTCTGCGAAGGAAATTCAAAAGTGGACGAGGAGGATATGACACGTAATTTCTTCACCATATGACACTGTGACACGTATTTCTCACCATATACAATGTGACACGTATTTTTCACCATATACAATGTGACACCGTAACCATATGACAATGTGACACGTATTTCTCGCCATATGACACGTGACACGTATTTCTCACCATATGACAATGTGATAGTATTTCTCACCATATGACACTGTGCGACACGTATTTCTCACCATATGACAAGTGACACGCATTTCTCACCATATGACAATGTACACGTATTCCCATGTGACACGTATTTCTCACCACATGACAATGTGACACGTATTTCTCACCATATGACAATGTGACACGTATTTCTCACCATATGACAATGTGACACGTATTTCTCACCATATGACAATGTGACACGTATTTCTCACCATATTGACAATCACGTATTTCCACCATATGACAATGTGACACGTATTTCTCGCCATATGACAATTGTGACACGTATTTCTCACCATATGACAACGTGACACGTATTTTCTCACACCCATATGACAATGTGACACGTATTTTTCACCATATGACAATGTGACCCGTATTTCTCGCCATATGACAATGTGACACGTATTTCTCACCATTGAGACAATTGACACGGATTCTCACCATTATGACAATGGTGACACGTATTTCTCACCATATGACAATGTGACACGTATTTCTCACCAATGACACTATGTGACCCGTATTTCTCGCCATATGACAATGTGACACGTTATTTCTCACCATGATGACAATGTGACACGTGGACACGTATTTCTCACCATATGACAATGTGACACGTATTTTCTATCACATATGACAATGTGACAACGTATTTCTCACCATATGACAATTGTGACACACGTATTTCTCACCATATGACAATGTGACACGTATTTCTCACCATATGACAATGTGACACGTATTTCTCACCATATGACAATGTGACACGTATTTCTCACCATATGACAATGTGACACGTATTTCTCACCATATGACAATGTGACACGTTTTTTCACCATATGACAATGTGACACGTATGACAATGACACGTATTTCTCACCATATGACAATGTGACGTATTTCTCACCTTTATGACCAATGTGACACGTATTTCTCACCATATAACAATGTGACACGTATTTTCACCATTATGGACCAATGTGACACTGTATTTCTCACATATGACAATGTGACCCACGTATTTCTCACATATGACAATGTGACAACTATATCGGATTTCTCAACCATATATGTACAGATGACACGTATTTCTCACCATAATGACAATGTACACGTATTTCATCACCATATGACAATGTGACACGTATTTTTCTCACCAATGACAATGTGACACGTATTTCTCACCTTATGACAATGTGACACGTATTTCTCACCATAGGACAATGGTGACACTATTTCTCGCCATATGACCAATGTGACATGTATTTCTCA